ATGGAATGGAACGGAACGGAATGGAACGGAATGGAACGGAATGGAACCGAACGGAATGGAATATCAGAATAACAAAGTTGGAAGGGACCTTGAAGGTCTTCTAGTCCAACCCCCTGATCAAGCAGGAGCCCCTGTATCAATCCAGACAAGTGCTTGTCCAATCTCATCTTAAAAACTTCCAGTGTTGGAGCATTCACAACTTCTGGAGGCAACCTGATCCACTGATTAATTGTTCTAATTGTCAGGAAATTTCTTCTTAGTTCTAAGTTGCCTCTCTCCAGGCGGTTAGGCTAGAAGTCCTCCAAGGTCCCTTCCCACTCTGTTATTCCATTACTCCGAACTCTTAAAGAAACAACCGAGCCCTTCACTATCTTGTCTCCGAATCAAGCCCATCGGAAAGGAAAGGAGCTAGCAGAAATGATGTTTCATTTCTCATGTCTTGATCAGGGGGAGTTACTGGGAGCTTCACAGCTCAAAATGACATGCGCCAAAGATACATCTAGTTAGCTAAAGAAAAATGACGGCGAATAATGAGACATCCTGTCTATCCAAGAATTGTGGATGTTGAAAAAGGCAGAGGGCAGGAAAAGCCGTGGGAGGCAAAGGAGGTCTGAGCTGTTCATTGAATTTCCCTCCCCCAATTTTTATAATGCATTAATTATGGGATCTGCACTGCAAAAGGGGTGGGGCGGAACGATCTCCCCAAATACAGAGAATAGCAACAGAGATGATAGGGAGGCTGGAGGCAGAACCCTACGATGAATGATTTTGGGAGCTATGAATGCCCCCAGTCCAATGAAGAAAATGAGTAAGGCTGACACAACCGAATAACAAAGTTGGAAGATACTTTGGAGCAGGGCTGTCAAAGTCTAGTCCTGTGGGCAGGAGGTGTCACGCGCTGGCCACACCCACGTCTGGTTTAGCGAAGGAGGAAAAATTCCTGATAAGTCACGTGACGCCACTGTGATGATGTAGGTTTGAAACCCTGCCTTGGACGTCTTCTAGTCTAAGCCCATGCTCCTGCCACTATACCAGTGATGGCTAACCTTTTCCACGTTGCATGCCAAAAGTGCATGCGTGTGTGCTTGCACCCATGATGCAATGCACGTGTGACTTCCCCTGCCCCCTGAGCATGCGCACCTGACCCTCCCTACAATGCACACGTCTGCGCATGCGCATGCACCCCCCCCTGCACACCGCATGTCTCTGCGCATCTTCCCCCGCGCATGGGTGGCAGATACCCGACAATCAGCTGGCTGGCGGGGGACGCGCGCATGCGCAGTTGGGCCCTTCCGGGCGACCTCTCATGTGCCGGCAGAAGTGGTTCTGTGTGCCCCTTCTGGCACGCATGCCATAGGTTTGCCATCACGGCACTATACCCTTTCAGAAAACTGGTTGCCCAAGCTCTTCTTGAAAACTTCCAGGGATGGAGCACCCACAATTTATGGAAGCAAATTGTTCCACTGATTAATTATTCTGTCAGGAAATGCCTCCTTCATTCTAGGTTGCTTCTCTCCTTGGTTAGTTTCCATTGATTGCTTCATGTTCTGCCTTCGGGTGCTTTGGATGCCCTCTTCTTTGTGGCAGCCCCTCAGATATTGGATCACTGCTATCATGTCACCTGTGTTGGCAGTCTCCCCATATTTGAAGGGCTGCCAGAGAAAAGAAGAAGGAGTCAAGCTATTCTCCAAAGCCCCTGAAGGCAAGGCAAGAAGCAATGGATGGAAACTAACCAAGGAGAGAAGCAACCTAGAATTAAGAAGAAATTTCCTGAGAGTGAGAACAATCCATCAGTGGAACAACTTTCCTCCAGAAGTTGTGAATGCTCCAACGCTGGAGGTTTTTAAGAATGGAATGGACAATCTAAAATGATATGAGGTTGGGCTAGAAGACCTCCAAGGTCCCTACCAACCCTGTTAATCCTATTTTAGGCATGAAACCAGTCAAGAGACTTTGGGACTGTCCTTCTTTCTCAACCCAGGAGACAATGCCAAACCCCTTCTGAAAACGCTGCCAAAACAATTGCACAGACCTCTCCATATTGTCACCTGGAGCTAAACAGTTTAACGCTTTTGGATTTGCACACTCTTCTGAATTACATAGTTAATGTATGGAAACTGTCAGCTGGACAATGGAAATGGATTCTCCATGCTTTTATCACTGCCAAGAGATTAGCTCCTCCATATTTGAAAGGCTATTTTAAGGCCATAACCATTAACCCATTTTCTGCAAACCAGAGTGCCCTAGAATTACTAGCTTATAAAATGAACTGGATTTGCACCGTGCATTCAGCCACAAAACCCCCTAACCTTGGTTAAAAACCCAAGCAGACAAAGATTGAGGGTCTTTTGAGTGAAGTAACAATAACAATGTCATAACTACTGTTGAACTACCATACCAGCAATTGACAAGCCTGAATAGGAGTCATGCCTTAGACGGTGTTGCTATGCTCATAAGACGTAGCTTTTCTCCCTTTTACACTATCTTCTATATCGGGGGTCTTCAAACTTGACAGCTTTGAGACTTGTTGGACTTCAACTCCCAGAATTCCTCCTCCTCCAGTCATGTTCGCTCAGGAATTCTGGGAGTTGAAGTCCACAAGTCTTAAACTTGCCAAGTTTGAAGACTCTTGTTCTATATCTTCACTAGGTTTCCTTTAAGGTTGCTTGCCTTTGGGGAAATCAGAGAAAGACTATGGACCATCAAGAAACTTACCATGGCTGATCCACTCCGTGGTCCTCGTGTTCTTGTCAGCTTCCCAAGCGTGATAAAGCCTGCCGTTGAAAGGATCTCCGATTTCCCAAGGGTCTTTTCTCCTAGTTTCTTGCAGTCAACATAGAGCCTGACCCAGCCATGGCTCACCAATACATGGACCTGCCCAACAGACAGAAGCAGTTGAGTCTTGTTCTTGATTGCAGACTAAGCAACACAATGCAACACACCGTGGAAACCTCTGAGCCCACCTGAATTATAAGAGTTGCAGCCATAAGAGAGTTGTAGCATCCTGAGCTTAGATTATAAGTAAAAAGTTCAATTTCTAATTGCTATCGTGGTGTGGAGACAATAACTTGCTCCTCAACACCAATAAGACCAAGGAGCTTATAGCGGTCTATAGAAGGAAAAGATCAGGCATGCTTATCAATGGAGATTGAGTGGAGCAAGTGGCCAGTTTTAAGTTTCTGGGTGTTATCATAAAAGAGGACCTGACGTGGGGGTGCTCACGTTGCAGCCCTGGTCAAAAGGGCCCAGCAGAGATGATACGACCCGAGACTTCTCAGAAAACAACAACTGAATGAAAAACTGCTGGTGACCTTCTACCGCTGCACTATAGAGAGTATCTTAACTTACTGCACCTCTGTATGGTTTGCCAATTGCACAGGGGCAAATAGGACAGCGCTCCAGAGGGTTAGCATCATTGCCCAGAGGATGTTTGGTTGCCCTCTCCCCTCTTTGGAAGAGCTTTAGAGCTCCCACTGCCTTAAGAAAGTTCAAAACATTCTCAAATGGTGTCAGTCAGCTATGGAATAGAATAGAATAGAATAGAATAGAATGGAATAGAATAGAATAGAATAGAATGGAATGGAATGGAATGGAGTGGAGTGGAGTGGAGTGGAGTGGAGTGGAGTGGAGTGGAGTGGAGTGGAATGGAATGGAATAGAATAGAATAGAATAGAATAGAATAGAATAGAATAGAATAGAATAGAATAGAATAGAAAATATGGAGTGGAGCGGAATGGAATAGAATAGAACAGAGTAGAATGTAGAAGTCTCTCCTAATCATGACAACATTTAGACGCTAGGCAACTGACTCATATTTATGACCGTTGCAGCATCCCGGGGTTCTGTGATCAACTTTTGCAACCTTCTGTCAAGCAATCATTGGGGAAGCCAGACTGATTCATTTAACAATCATGTTACTAATAACTGCAGCAACTCACTTAACCATTGTGGCAAGAAAGGTCGTAAAATGGAGCAAAATTCAGTTAACAATCATCTCACTTAGCTACAGAAATGTTGGGTTCCATTGCGGTCGTGAGTCGAGGACCAGCTGTAAAGATCAAACTAAGATTGAGGTGTCCCCACTCGTTACATCCATCTAACTTTCAAAACTCTTCTAATATTTCCAGGCAGAAGATTCTTTCTCTTTGCTAGTTTTTTTTAAATTCTTCCGCACATATTCTTGGATACTTGTGTGCATAAATTTATGTAGATTAGCACATAGAGACAGGAAGGAATTTATTCCTTCATTATGATGCTGGCTCACATCCCCAAATTTCAACATATGTGCATATGAACATGCGAGGAAATGTCCTAGATAGATTTTTTTTTTTTAGAATTGTTATTTTGAAAAATCAAAGCGGGGAGGAGGCAGAAGAATTGGGGGAAAGGGGGGGGTGTACTGTGCTTGTGAATATCTCTTTTTGGAGAAGGAGCAGGGGTGGGCTTCAAAAATTTTAGCAATGGGTTCTCTGCCCAGTTGCTGAGTGGGCATGGCCATGGTGGGTGTGGCCTAGTCGGCTTCATGCACCATGACGGGTGGGGGCGTTTTTGCCCTCCCCAGGCTCCGGAGGCTTTTCTTGAGCCTCCAGGAGGGTAAAAACGGCCTTCCCAGGCTCCGGAGGCTCTCTCGAGGCTGGAAACGGGTCCATTTCCGGCCTTCCTGAACTTCCAGAAGGCCCGTTTTTCACTCTCCCCGAGCCTCCGCGCGCACCCTGCACTTCCCTGCATCCAAAACGGGCCGTGTGGGGACTCCTGGGAGGGAAGGAGAGGGGTGGGATGGGTGGGGCCAGCCAGGAGTGGGATTTGGGGGTTGTCCGAACTGCACAGAATCTTAGCTAGGGGCTCTCCTGAACCCCTGCGAACCCCCAGCAGCCCATCCCTGGAAGGACCTTATGAAAGCTTCCATAGAATATCTTCTTCACTTCCTGTTGATCAAAGGTGACTTCTTCTATATCAGCTTCATGGTCACGACGGAAATACACCAAGGATTTCTTAAGAGCTAGAGTGAGAGGGTAAAAAAAGACAACAAATAAACTGGAAAGCTTTTACAAAATTCTCTCTAGCATCCTTCCTCAACCTAAGACAGGTAGTCCTCGACTTACTGCCAAAACTGAGCCCGAAATTCCTGTTGCTAAATGAGACATTGGTTAAGTGAGTTTTTGCCTCATTTTACCACCTCTCTTGCCACAGTTGTTAAGGGAATCATTGCAGTTAAGTCAGTAAGACGGTTTGCTAAGTGAATCTGGTTTCCAAATTGACTTTGGTTATCAGAAGACTGAAAAAGGGGATCACATGACCGTGGTGGGAGGGGCCTACTGGAACTTTCTGTTTCTGGCTTCCGGTGGGCCTCCAGAGCCCGGGGGAGCCCATTTTCAGCCTCCCAAGGGTCCAGAGGCCTCTCCTGGGCCTCTGGGAGGGCGAAAACAGACTCCACCAGCCTCTGGAGGCCCTCCGGCAGCTGGAAACAGGCCCGTTTCTGGACTTCCAGGAGGCCCATTTTTCCCGCTCCCAGAGCTTCTGCATGGACCCTGAACTCCATTCTCCATTGAAAATGGGCCACGGGGGAGACTCCGGGGAGGGGAGGAGCGGGGCCAGCCGGTCGTGTGAAATACCGGTTCAGCAAACCAGCTGTAACTCTAACATCTGGTTTGCCCGAACCAGTCTGAACCGGAAGAATCCCACTCCTGCTGCAACAGTCATAAGTGTGGAAAATGGTCGCTTTTTTCAGGGGCATTGTAGGTTGAAACGGTCACTAAATGAAGTGTTGTAAGTCAAGGACTACCTGTATGAGACGGTGAGATTTGAAGTCCAGCATTGTCTGCGGACACCAGGTTGACCTCAGCATCATTGAAAGCATGAACAGCAGAGTATAAAACAAGGACAAAGGAATTCTTTACAGAAGTTTTACGGCACAACTCCCATTTGCCACTGGCCATACTGGTGGCTGACAAGAGCTGAAGTCCAATCTCTCATTGAGTCTGGATAGAAGAAATAACGCCACAAAACATAGCCAAACATAATTGTGAGAAATGGAAAATCCATTTGAGAGGGGAGATCTCCCACAATGGTCCGTGGGAGTCATACTGGTACGTGCAAACATGTCACCCACGTAGGTCAACCATCCATTCTACATATTTGGCACATTTGGTTTGGCAATTCCAGGGAGAAATATGATTGCCAAATGGAGATTGGTTAAGTTCCATTCTAAGAGAAAGAATGGTCGAATCTAGGGGCGGAGACAAAAAAGGAATAACCCCAGAATCACTATGCAGCCATACGCAAGCTGAATTCAACCTCACTTGAATTCAGAATAACAGAGTTGGAAGGGACTTTGCAGTTCTTCTAGTCCAGGTGTGATGCCCCGGAGTGCACCACAAATATAACAAAAACCAAAACGTAAATAAAGGTCTTTTAACGCCTTCAACTTGGCTTCACTGTTCAATTGTTCACAGTTGGAGATTAAACTATTTTCAAAATAACATTCTAAACGAAAGAAATACAGTTCAAACTCAAATTGCAGATAACAAAGCAAACACCAAAAACAAACCGCACTGAAGAAAGTTCCACGACAGACCAGGATAGATAATTACAAACTTCAGGAAGATAACCAGGTACAGTCCATTGGAAGAACACCAACCAAGATACACCTCATCCAGGAAAAATACTCACTATCTCCAGCATTTGCTAGCATGCAGGTCCAAACTCTTATGCAGATCTCATACCTGCAACCCATGAAGAGGATCATGGTCCTCTCCTCCCGAGTAGACCATGTTTTTCCCTGATCCTCTCCTCCCTGCGTGCCCTAGGATGGATAGGGGATGGGCCTGGGTCCTCCTCTGACTGCTCAGCCAGCCTCTGCCCGTCCCCAGCCTCCTCCACCACCTCTGGAGCCACACTTCCACTCCCTGTCGGCTGTTCCTCCTCTCCCTCAGAGTCAGCCTCCATCAGGGGCATGACACTAGGGATCGCCAACCTTTTGGACCTCAGGGACCACCAAACTCATAATTTTAAATCCCGAGGACCAGAGACCTTGGGAAAATACCCCCAAAAAGTCTGCAGGAAAATTCCCCACCCCGTTTTCCTACTGATCGATCATTCTTTATTTGGGATCGCAGGATACCACATCCCCTCTGGTCCATGGAAAAATTTCTGCTGCAATTTAGGATTGAACTCACAGCCTCCAGACTATCAACACATCACTCAACACACCACTCCAACGTTAAAAAGAATTAAGGAGAACCAAACCAACTGCTTTCATCAAATCAGGTACCACCATGATACGATTAGAAAGGACATCCCACAACTTTGAGGTCTTCAGGGCTTCATTTCAAGGAGCAAGGGAATCCTCTCCCAGAAGGTTATATCTCTACTTACGATCAAGAATGATGCTGAGAAGCGGCTGGAAGTCCTCATCTGTTATCTGCCAGATAGAAAAGGCCTCTCGGGGACTTTCTGGTAGAAGGCGGAGTAGAAAAGTAAGGGTGTATTCAGTTGGAAGTCCAAAAGGTAACACCTCACTGGGAAAACAACATAGAGATTCCTCTGTGAAATATCTTATGGTGAGGATCATAAAGTCAGGGTTATAAAAAGTACAACTTGCCTTAAACCAGGGGTCTCCAACCTTGGCAACTTTAAGCCTGGAGGACTTCAATTCCCAGAATTCCCCAGCAAGCTGGCTGGTGAATTCTGGGAGTTGAAGTCCTCCAGGCTTAAAGTAGCCAAGGTTGGAGACCCCTGCCTTAAATCAATGTTATATATATAGTCACTGAGATGAAAATAATGTCATTTAGTCCAACCATCTGGTCACTGCAAGATCCAGTAGAACATCTCTGACACAGGACTATCCTGCTTCCATCTGAAGAACCTATCAGTGTCTCCTAATGTATGGCCTCCATAGGCAACTATTAGTACTTGGACAAAAGACTTCTTAATAGTTTTAATCATTAATACAACCTCTTTTTTTGCTGGAATGGAGGCAGGACATCTTATACCATCTCAATCAAAACAACTCAGTGGTGGGGCATCCACAACTCCAGGAATCCAGCTATTCCACTGAATAATTTTTCTCATTGTCAGGAAATTTCTCCTCTCTTCCAGTTCAGAGCAGTCCGTCCATGGCTTTCACAGGAACCTCACAGAAGTGGGCGCCATTTGGGCATGCGAGGGACAAACCTTGCAGCTGCAGAGAAGCTGCAGCAGCGCTGTGCAGACTGTATTAAGGCAGAAAAATGCAGCGGTCCATCCGCAGGCTGTGTGGCTGCCCCATAGAAGCGGCCGCCATTTTGGCACACCCCAAAGGAATTGCAGGCATGAGGAAAAAGACAGATGTTACCAGGGATAGTACAGATTAAACAGACTTGGAAGGGACATTGTAGGTCATGTAGTCTACCACCATCCCCCGCCCAGTTGGTCCAGGGCAGTGGTGCAGTGGTGCGTTTCAAAAATTGTTACCACTGGTTTTGTGGGAGTGCATTGCACGTGCACACACACTTTTCACGCATGCGTGCGCCAAATCCATACTTTGCACAGGCGCTGTGGTATTTTGACTTACCTCCAACAATAGCACTCAGACTTATATACCGCTTTATAGTGCTTTACAGCCCTCTCTAAGCGGTTTACAGAGTCAGCCTCTTGTCCCCAACAATCTAGGTCCTCATTTTACCCACCTCGGAAGAATGGAAGGCCAAGTCAACCTTGAGCCTGGTGGGATTTGAACTGCCAAACTGTAGGCAGCTGGCTGCAGAAGTAGCTTGCACAGAGGCTCATTACAATCCTGCACTCTCCCTGTCACTACAGCAGCAGGGTATAGGAAGCCGGGCAGGCAGGTGGGTCCAACACAGAGGATCAGAGAGAACCAGTTCGGTCTCTACTGCTAATTGGCACTACCAGCTTGGCAGAACCGGGCCAAACCAGTAGAATACCACCACTGCAGTGATGGGATTCAAAAAAATTTACTACCAGTTCTATGGGCGTGGCATGGCTTGGTGGGTGTGGCTTGGTGGGTGTGGCAGGAAAAGGATACTGCAAAATCTCCATTCCCACCCCACTTCAGGTCACTGTAAAATCCCCATTCCCTCTCCACCCCACTAACCTGCTTTCCAGCTCCGTTCTCCTATGCAGGGCAACCAAAGAAGACCCAGCTGATCAGCTGGAACTCGGGGGTGGGGGCAGAGAATAGATGGGGGTGGGGCCAGTCAGAGGCGGGATATGCCGGTTCGCCAAACAACTCAAACTTTCCACTACTGGTTCTCCAGAACTGGTCAGAACCTGCTGAATTCACCACCTCTGAGCCAGGGATGCGCAGTCTGACCTCCTTCCCCAACATGAAGCCTGAAGATCTTCACAAGATAAGTGTGTGGTGTGGGATGGGTGTGAATAGGCCTGTGGGGTCCTGGCAGGGCAGGGTGGGGGAGAGAGAGGCAGGGGGAACTGCAGTATCCCTAAAACTGGTCGTATTGGCAAATGACCACAGATGTTCAGCAATGATTTGCAACTAAGTAGCTTTTGATGAACCTGTAATAAGCTTGAACAACTGTTAAGTGACCGGTTACATCTCGTGGAACTACCTGCACTGCCAAAAGAAACCAACAAAGATGTCATCAGGAGTCAACCTTTTTTAAAGGAATCATAATATGATCTTCTCTTGAGGTCCAACTTCTATTCAGTGCAGAAATATACAAGTAGTCCTTGACTTACAACAGTTTGTTTAGAACTGTCAGTTAGAACAACCCTGAAAAAGTGACTTATGACCGATTTCACACTTATGGCTGTTGCAACATCCCCATGGGGATCAAAATTTGGATGCTTAGCAACTGACTTGTATTTATGATGGTGGCAGTGTCATAGGTGGGCCATAAATTACACCAGGCAGAGCTGACTTCATTTGGGTGTCAACTCATACAATATTTCTCTGGTCTTTTTAGAGTTGCCAACAGAAACGAAGGGGGGAGCAATGCGGCAGCTTGCAAACCAAAACTGCATTCCATAAATGTTTTCAAAGATAGTAACTAGGTGACCGAAGTTTCTGCCAAGCAAATATCTAGCTGGAGAGCATGATTGATGATTCTTGGCTATGGATGTGTCCCATTGGAGAATATGAATTATGATACACTCAGGGGGTGGAGGAAAACCAGGGTCAAGGGTGACAATGAATTATTTGTCTCAGAGTCGGCTACACCCAGGCAATGCCGGACCTTTTAACTCCTAATAAATCCTTTTGAAGTTTTGGAAGTTTGGCTTGAGACTCATGATTTAAATGGGGTTAAGTGCTGGAATCCTGACATTGGGTATGTGCCGACATGTTGCTCCTAATAAATAACTGGATTTCTTTTGAAACTTGGCTCAATGCTCATGGCTTAATTAGGGCATCAATCAGAATCCTGTCAATAATCACTTTTGCCAAATTCTACAAGCAAAGTCAACAAGGAAGTCAGATCCAGTTAACAATCAGTGATTCACTTAGCAACCGTGGGAAGAAGGGTTGTAAAATGGGGCAGAATTCACTTAACAACTCTCTAGCTTAGCAAAGGAAAATTTGGGCTCAGTTGTGGCTAAGGACTAACTGTAATGCAGCTAAGGACAAGGGAGCTTGCTATCTAGAACTTTCTTACCATAGTTTTTGCTACTTTTTACTTAATATAAATTTATTGGTGTCAATAAACCGAAAAGTAGGATATAATCCGAACTTCACCTCAAATGTTACTTGACTAAGGACGAAATGCAATAAATATCTTCTTTGATGTCTTATTTTAATAATTGATCTGAAAGTTGGTCTGCCGTAGCAATTTAAATTTTGCTCCTCTATGCTAGCTGGCATGAAAAATAATACCATTTGAAAGTGTTTGACAGCTGGTACATTTGATAGCTGGTGCAGTCTTGTGGTTAAGAAATGGAGCTATGAACAGTCCCTTGATTGAATTTCACCTCTTCCATCCTCATACCCAATTTTAGTCAAGACATTCTGATGGATTTAGGTAATATAAGATTAATGATAATGTTCTATACTACAGGATTATTATGAGGGTTCTGAGAGAGAACGTGTGATGGGAGCAGATGCAAAAAAAATAAAAATAAACTCCTAACAGGTTGAGGAAAAAAAATAATGAATTGCCAAAACAACACTTGAATGAAAATGTCAGAGGCAAATTCAACTTACAACCATTTCGTTTAGTGGCTGTTCAAAGTTACAGTGGCACTGAAAAAAGTGACTTATGACCATGTATCCATTGTCATGTACAGGAGTGGGATTCTACCAGTTTGCACCTTTTCGCTAGAACCTGTTGTTAACATTCTAAGCAGTTCGGAGAACCGGTTGTTAGAAGAAATTACTGGCCTAATCCTGTAAGGAAGGCAGGAAGGAAACATGCTGGTGTTGCTTACAGAAACTGCCTCTCCATTAACCTTTATTACATTCTTGGCAGGACTAGACTTCCTGTCTCAGGAACATCTCTGGAGTTTTTTTCCCCTCCTTTGCTGGTACTTTGCTTGTGTGGAGTGACCATTCAAAGTTACAATGGCACTGAAAAAAGTGACTTATGACCATTTTTCACACTTATAACTGTTGCAGCATCCCCACAGTCATGAGAGGCCAGGCGAGGAGATGCGTGCCTCGATGTGAGTGATGTTGAGTTGGCCACGCCCAGCCAGTCACATGACCACCAAGCCACGCCCACTAAGCCATGCCCACAGAACCAGTTGTTAAAAAAATTGAATCCCCTGGTCATGTAATCAAAATTTGGATGCTTGGTGTGTATTTATGACAGCTGCACTGTCCTGGGGTCTTGTAATCACCATTGGTAACCTTCCTAGCTGGCTTCCAACAAGCAAACTCAATGACAAAGGACTGTTAGTTTTTGATCAGTCAAGCAAACACTGCATATTATTGCTTTGGTCCATGTTGATTGCTCCTTTTTAATGACCAGATAATCATAAATTAAAGAGATGATCTTCAGGATTATTTTTCTCTTTGGAACAACAATCTAATATCATTAAAACTCAGCTGAGGAGGTTTTCCTATTTGTTTGTTTTAAACTTCCACAAGTTCTGGCTGTAAGAAGAAACTACTCTGAATCTGAGCATTTTCACAAAGGGCACCTGGGGGAATCTCACAAATTCAACATGAAGAAGCTTAGCTTCTTTCAACAAGATTACAATTATCCTTATGTTTCAGCAATTAAACTTGAAAAGGAAGTCACAACTGCTTTGCACTAAGCCAGACTGTTTCAATTTGCTAAGTTGTTAGCTATAATAGAATCAAGTGGCATATATGCTGAAATCATTATGAAGCTCAGATTACAAAGAGGACCGAGGAGCATTTCAACACACAAAGTCATATTCCCAATTAGTGGAAATCTACCTATCTGCTATGCAACATGAAGAAACCATATGCATTAGGGAGACTTGTAATTATGCAGTAGAATGTTTAGAATTAGAATAAGAAAATCATATGGGTTAGAAAGACATAATTAAAGTGAAGTGTGAAGGATGGATGGATGATGAAGGGTAGATGAATTATGAAGATAAATGGATGGATCAATCGACCAATGGATGGATGGATAGATGGATGGATGGATGATGAAGATGGATGGATGGATGAAGGAAAGGAGGACTTCATGGCTGCAACTATGTGATTGAAGCTCCACCCTCTCTCTTTAAAGGCATGTATTATGTGCACTATGTTACTATGCTTTAGAGTAGGTTGTGCAATTTGCTTGCAACCATGGGCTGCATTTTGTTATTGTTGTTGTTGTTTTATTTGTTGCTTTTTCAATGGCATCAATTTTTGGGTGTTCTGGCCCATATCATGGACCAAATGGGACATTGATTGTTCTAGATAAGGGCTGTCCAGTCTCTTTCTGAAAACTTCCAGTGATGGAACTCCCACAACTTCCAGAAATAAGCCATTCCACGGATTAATCGTTCTAACTGTCAGGAAATTTCTCTTTAGTTCTAGGTCTCCCCTTGATTAGTTTCCATCTATTGCTTCTTGTCCTACCCTAAGGTGCTGTGGAGAATAGGATGGTTCCCTCTTCTCTGTGAGAGCCCCTCAAGTACAAACACTGCTATCATATCACCCCTAGATTTTGTTAATTAGACTAGGCATATCTAGTTCCTTCAATCATTCATGATAGGGTTTAGCCTCTAACCCCTCTTCTCTGATACCGTATCTATCTATCTATCTATCTATCTATCTATCTATCTATCTATCTATCTATCTATCTATCTATCTATCTACCTACCTGTCTGTCTGTCTGTCTATCTATCTATCTATCTATCTATCTGTCATCTATCTATCCATCCATCCATCTTGTTGACTCAGCCTTCCATCCTTCCAATATTAATAAAATGAGGACCCCAATTGTTGGAGGCAAAATGCTGATTCTGTAAACCACTAAGGGAGGGCTATAAAGCACTGTGAAATGGTATATAAGTCTAAGTGTTTATCCATCCATCCATCCATCCATCAATCCATTGAACTATGGTTGAACTGTAGCTTCTAAAAAGCAAGATCTAAAAAGCAAAATTGTAACAATTTAAGTGTAACAATTTAAGAAAATTATACCCATCATTGGTATAATTTTGGAATTATACAGTGCTGGAATTGTCCTCTCTTTGGATGCTTAACCATAACCTTAGTTTACTTTACTTTATTGTCATTGCACCTCGTAAATGAAATTAAATACTATCTTCAGTGTACATTATGACTATGAAAATAAAGACAAACACACATCTTTCACATTCTATACATTGAATTGAAAACCCCCTGATATTGCATGAATGGTGCACTATTAGAGTTACTACGCAGTAGAATTCAAAAGAGTTACTGCCCTGGGATAGAAGCTGACCTCTAGAAGTTGTCACTGTTTCCAACAAAACAGCAAAATTAATATTGGGCCAATGGGCTCCAACCTTCACCATTTTGAATGGCGTATTGTGGCCCACACATAGAGGAAACGGGTGGGGAGTTGCAATTCTGCTTTTATCAATTGGATTTCCTTTGTCCCTCTTGTAAGTGCTGCTGATCCTTGATGGCACAATGAACAGAGGTCATGAATGTACAAATGAAATGCCTGCAGTTCCCTTAATCTGAACGTCTCTAAAAAGGCTGCTCGGATTTTCAGTTTCCTTTCCCATCCTAAGGGAAAGTTGCAAACTGTTTGAGAAGTGAAGAAAGCATATTGGCAGGCCTCAGGGCTCTCAATTTTTTTTTTTAATATTATCATTTTATAGAATTTAATAAGTGTGCAGGGGAATAATGCTATTTCCCTACCCCAAGGAGAGTCAAAATGGCAAAAGGTCGTCTGAAGAATGTTGACTGAATATTGGAATAGTAATCCGTGTGAGGGTTCTTAAGTGTTCGTATTGGCTGCCTGTCACCTTTGATTCATGCTGCAGAAGGCTTGAGTAAGGATGGCCCAGAACATTATTTGAGATCCTTGTAGTCCAAGATCATAACTTTATCATTATCAAAGTTGGAGGACCATTAGAAGAATCTCTATGTCCCCACCATTAAAGGCCTGATACTCTAAAGTCAATCAGGGGCTCTGGCTCCTTCTCCATATAGTGAAAATGGTCACTATATGGATTGCAGCTGCATATCAAAACATTGAGCTGTTCTGGAATGTTGATGAAAGAACATCCTTCTATTGTCTTAATACAGGGCTCTTCAAACTTGACATCTTTAAGACTTGTGGACTTCAACTCCCAGAATTCCTTCTCCTGTCATGTTAGCTGAGGAATTCTGGGAGTTGAAGTCCACAAATCTTAAACTTGCCAAGTTGGAAGACCTATGTCGTAATACAGTAAAGAGACCGTCAAGCAATGGGACTCATTTGGAGCTATCCAAGGTCCTGTTTGGGGTGTCTTTGGTGCTCTCTGAGCTTGGTTGTTTTCTCTGAGAAGTTTCATTACCAAATGAAATACTGATTATGTTTCTTAGTATAGTAATGAAATATCTGTAAGAAAATAACCAAACTCAGAGAGCACCAAGGACCCCACAGTTCAACCCTGAGCTGCAAATATTCTCTTCTGTTTCCTATTGTGTGTTGCTTGGTCTTCTGCTGCCCTGAAGTTTCACTGTGGATATGTTGGGACAACCCAGCTTGTTGGGTTAACACAATACTGTGAACTTTGTCAACTCCTCAACCCAATGGATTAATTTGATAAGCGCACGCGATAATGCAAGTACATAGTATAATGCTTACAGAAAGCTAATTCATTTTCAGTCAAACTTCCTTAATTATTTTCTCTTTTTACCTTGTTTTCCGGGTTAGTTGGATATCTCTGTAGAGAGTGTAGGTGTGAGTTCCTAAGAAGATGTAAGGTTCCATAGCAACCCCCTTGATGGAGGCATAATCCTTGCCCATCAATCCAAAAGCCTCCATCATGTCAAAACCTGTGAAAAGTAGACCATATTGATCATGTAAACGTGTAATTCCTAATCTCATGAACTTTAAGATGTGTGGACTTCAACTCCCAGAATTCCCTAGCAAGCATATAATGCAAGGGTTCTTCAAACTTGGCAAGTTTAAGACTTGTGGACTTCAACTCCCAGAATTTCTGAGCTAACAGGACCGGAAGAGGAATTCTGGGAGTTGAAGTCCACAAGTCTTAAAGCTGTCAAGTTTGAAGGCCCCTGATGTAATGGAAGGAATAGGTTTTCCATGCTTGCTCAACTCTAAGGTGTTATCAATAGGATAAATAATGACAGCCTCATGAGTATGGACATTCCTATTTCAATGCTCTTCCTTGTTTCCCTGACATTCTATCTAAACATTTAAAATGATTTATGCCAGTGTTTCTCAACCATAACAACAGGATAACATAGTTGAAGGGGAACTTGGAGGTCTTCCAGTCCAACCCCTTGTTCAAGCAGGAAATCCTATACCAATTCACACAAATCATTGTCCAATTTCTTCTTTAAAACATTCAGTGTCAGGGCACCCACAACTTCTGGAGGCAAGTTCTTCCACTAGTTGATTGTTCTCACTGTCAGGTAATTCCTCCTTAATTCTAGGTTGGATCTCTCCTTGATTAGCTTCCATCTACTAATCCTATTTTCTACGTCATACTTTCAGGTGCTTTGGAGAATAGGTTGACTCCCTCTTCTTTTTGGCAATCTCTTAGATATTGGAAGACTGCTATCAGCCATTCTCATTGTACACATGTTGTACTCTGACAATAAAAGAAATAAAAATCATGTCTCCTCTAGTCCTTCTTTTTATTAGACTAGACACGCCCAATTCCTGCAATTGTTCTTCATATGTTTTAGCCTCCAGTCCTCTAATCATCTTTATTGCTCTTCTCTGCACTCTTTCTAGAATCTCAACATTTTTTCTTGTATTGGGGTAACCAAAGTTGGATGCACTATTCTGAGTGTTTCGAGACATTATAAAGGGATATTAACACTTCATGTGATCTTAATTCTATCCCTCTCTTAATGTTGCCTAGAACTACATTGGTTTCTTTGGCAGCTGCAACATACTGCTGGCTCACATTTAAGTGGTTGTCCATGATAATTCCTAGATCCCATTCGCAGGTACTACTATTGAGTCAGGTATCACCTAAACACTGGCAACTTTAGGATGTCTGTCTTTAACTCCCAGCATGCTTGCTGGGGAATTCTGGGAGTTGAAGCCCAGACATCCTAAGGTTACTAAAGTTGAGAAACACTAGTGTAAATATTGCAAAGGCAGTTGCGGGAGGGATTTTAGAAGGTTGTTGTGAGAAGTAAGAATTATTCCTGTAAAAGACAGAGCAATGGTAACACCATAATTTACCCTTATGTAACCTAAGAAACCCTAATGAAATATTAAGTAAGACATTGTGTAAGAATGTTCTCTGTATTACAAAAACCAGACTATAAATGTTTTGCACATTCTGGCCAGACAGATAGCTGGCAGGTCAAGGAAAGATCACTGGTCAAGTTGTCATGTTAAAATTAATAGTGTTGACAATAATTGGACGTGCCAAGGGGATGGAGATTACTGGAAATGAGTAAACTGATGAGATGGAGGTGCCAGGAAGAGGAAGGAATCCACCCAGAAACCAACCAATGAAGATAAGAGGTAGTAACCAGGTCTGGAGTATTGAAACTGTGTTTAACCATCATTTATTCCTATGGAAGATGTCTTCTGTACCTCCACCTATACGAGCACAAAAGTCCTGCCTTTGCAAATGCTTATAATAAAGAAGCTCTTTATATTGTTTAGAAGTCTCCTGGTAATTTCACACTTAAAGGGTTAAATACCACAGTTGTACCCATATTCCTAGATGAGACAGAGATCTACTACTTCATCTGATAACCCTTTAAAGAGACATTGACAAAGAAGACCCTTGAGCCTTCAGCTAGTTCAGTCTGGATTTTTCTGACACTACAGATAAAAAGCAAACTGTCTCATTTGCACGAAAAGTAGCATTTCTCAGGAAAGAAAAAAGAACAAGTCTGCACACACAGGGATTGGCTGTGGATCTGCAGATCATCCTAGAGTCCTTAGCAAAATGCACAGGTTCGCATTCAGGAGACTGTGCATGAGTCAGCCATAAACTTCCTTGCCATTAAATTGCATCAGATCACACACTGCAATGAACAAGGTTGGTTGCCTGCTGCCCCATTTTTACACACCATCTGCCTCCTTCTCTTTTTAAATTGTTAAGCAGGGTTGACTTCGGTGAATACATATTCTCCAGGAGGAGGAGGGGGGGTGGAGAGAGAGGGGGGGAGGAAAAAGAAGGAGAGAAAGAAAGAAAAGAACAGAAAATGAATACATATTCTTCCACAAAAGGAGAAGGAAAGGAGAATGAAAGGAGAAGAAAAGGAGAAGGGAAGGAAAAGGAGAAGAAGGAGAGGGAAGGGAAGAGAGGGAGGAAGGAAGGAAATAAAAGAGAAAAGAGAGAAAAGAGAAGAAAATAATAGAAAAGGAAAGAAAAGGAAAGGAATACATATTCTTCCATAAAAGGGGAAGGGGAAGGAGAGGAAGGAAATAAAAGAGAAAAGAGAAGAGAGAAGAAAAGAAAAGAACAGAAAAGGGAAGAAAAGAAAATGAATACATATTATTTCATAAAAGGAGAAGGAAAGGAGAAGGAGAAGAAGGAGAGGGAAGGGAAGGGGAGAGAGGAAGGAAGGAAATAAACGAGAAGAGAGAAGAGAAGAATAGAAAAGAGAAGGAAAGGAAAGGAAAGGAAAATAAAATGCATTTTTGAACCAGGGAACATCTCTAACAGATGAGTCAATTTGTGAGGCCTTCAATGCAACCAGACTTTGCTATCAATAAATCCGCCCCTCATTTTGTCTTCTCCTATCTGAATTTATGGAAAAGCCGAAGCTGGGGATGAGCCAGGAACAATTGTGAAACAGGCATGTTTAAAAACATTTCAATTATCATTTTTTCATCTGCCAGCTTGATCTCCATAGCTTCATTTCTGATGATTATCTTGAAGGCCGAAGCCAATCGAAGGAGGGTTGTCCTGGTTTGATGAATTCAAATACTGGCTGAATCCAGTTGAGTAAAGTCCCCAGCCATGCAACCTCCTCATTTAAATTTCATTTGAACCGAATTATTATAAAAGCATGCAGAAATAAGCGAGGCACTGCAATGTGGAAAAGATGGCTGGGGTAATACAGGTAGTCCTCAACTTATGACCACAATTGAGCCCAACATTTCCGTTGTTAAGTGAGACATTCGACTTTTCTTGCCACAGTTGTTAAGTGAATCACTGCGGTCAATAAATTAGTAACCTGGTTGTTAAGTGAATAGGCTTCCCCATTGACTTTGCTTGTCAAAAGGCTGCAAAACATGACCTTGGGACACAGCAACGATCATAAGTATGAGTTAGTTTCCAAGCACCTGGATTTTGATCACGTGATCACGGGGATGCTACCAACTGTGAAAAAATGGTCAAAAATTACTTTTTTCAGTGCCATTCACTGATATGGCACTAAGTGAACTGTTGTAAGTCAAGGTCTACTTATAGTTGCAATGGGCAGTGCTGGATGACTTTCTGGGTTTTCTTTCCATTCGAGGGAAAATAAAAGATAAAGGCATATTCACTGGAGCAATGTTTCTGTTTGATTTCCTGGTAGGTTGACATACTCAATGAGAGGTCAGTGCAGCGGCTGCATCAAGTATTTTTAACCAGATATTTCGGTGCAATCGAAGTGGTTTAAGGAGAGAAAACAATTCCTCCAGGAATCTTCAGAGTAGAGGTGGAAGCTCTAATTATCTGTGACATTTTTGTAAAAAAATAAATAAAAATGACTTCTTATAAAGAAGCTTAGGAGATAGTACCATCAGGAAGTGGATGAAGCCAACTGAGAGCAAGAGTAGCAGGTCTGTAAGTCTTTGTCCCAACTCGGAGGTAGCACTTAGGCTTAAAAGCTGCTTCACAGTATTTTGCAGCCCTCTCTAAGAGGTTTACAGAGTCGGCGCATTGCCCCCCGACAATTTTGGGTCCTCATTTTACCCACCTCGGAAGGATGAAAGGAGTGGTAGGATTCAAATTGTTTTACCACCGATTCAGTGGGCGTAGTTTGGTGGGCGTGCTTTGCCTAAGGCCGGCACGCAGCTTTCTCCACACCAGCTGAGGCCTACAGCGCCAATCAGCCGACAGGATAAAGAGGAGAAAAGCGTAGGGGCGGGTGGAAGGGCCGATCCTGCGCTTTTCTCTTCTTTTTCAGCTGATTGTCGGAGAATTTTTTTTTCTTCTCTCAGCTGATCGTCGGCTTTTTTTTACTACTGGTTCGGCTGAACCAGTCCGAACCACCACTGGATGAAAGGCTGAGTCAACCTTGAGCCAGTCAGGATCGAACTCCTGGCTGTGGTCAGACTGATCCTGCAATTTTAAGCTCTGTGCCACTACAGCTGTAGGTAGCAATAGCGATAGCATTTAGGCTTATATATCCACCCCATAGTGCTTCTACAGCACAAACAAGCTACATTTGTTTAGAGGTAGTCCTTGACATACGACCGCAACTGAGCCCAACATTTCCACTGGTAAGAAAGGCAGGTGTTACATCAGATTTGCCTCACTTTACCCCTTTTCGCCACCGTTGTGAAACAATTGCTGCACTAAATTAGGAGGGAGCCATGGTGAAAAAATGGTTAGAATACAGTATTGCAGGCTAACTCTGCCCACAGTTAGGAGTTCGATTCTGACCGGCTCAAGGTTGACTCAGCCTTCCATCCTTCCGAGATTGGTAAAATGAGGATCCAGATTGTTGGGGGCAATAGGCTGACTCTGTAAACCCACTCAGAGAGAGCTGTAAATCTATGTGAAGTGGCACACAAGTCTAAGTGCTATTGCTGTCGCTATGTTGGGTATCATGTGACCTGAAGGACTGTCATTTGGCACTATATTGTCAATCACTATCTTTGGTTTTCCTTCATAAAACACATGAGTTGTTTACCATTGTCTCCTTCTACACAGGATGAAAGGATGTTTTTTCAATATCACAATTTCATGATCTCCCATTTTCAGCATCTTCATATGTTGCTGTTGCTCTATATATTTATTTATCTATTTGATTTTTTTTATTCATAAGTAATTCAAACATACCTAACATTTCTTCTTCCTCCTGTTTTCCCCATAATAGCAACCCTGAGGTGGATTGGGCTGAGAGAGAGGGACTGGTCCAAACGCACCCAGCTGGCATTCATGTCGAAGGGAGGATTAGCACTCAAAGTCACCTGGTGATTGGTCCAAAGGCACCCAGCTGGCATTCATGCTGAAGGCAGGACTACAACTCACAGTCACCAGGTGATTGGTTCAAAGTCACCCAGCTGGCATTCATGCCTAAGGCAGGACTACAACTCACAGTCACCTGGTGATTGACCCGAAGTCACCCAGATGGGTTTCGTGGCTAAGGGAGGACTAGAACTCACAATCTCCTGGTTTTTAGGCCAGCATATTAATCAGTATATACACCAAACTCTCTGCTTACTTTAGCTGGGCAGCTGGGCTGACCTTCACGCATTGGGCCACCCTGCCAAAATTATAAACGGTACTCTCAGTATACACTTTATGATTTATTGATTTGTCAATTTTTTAAACCTTTTGCCCTTAGCTCATCCCTTCCAGAAATGCACTCACCACACACACACACACACACACACACACACACACACTCATGCATACACACAAACGTAAGGCAACATGGAAAGATTTTGGGTTGAAGAATAAAAATGGCTTTGGATACATTAAGCCTCCTCCACTTTTAAAACAAGGTGATGCTCGCTACATTGCCAACATGGTCTACTTATTCAGACCCTTTATTAACTAAGGATGCTGTCTTTGGTGTTTTAATACCAAATTTATTCTTCTTTGTAATCAAAGAGCAAGCTGCAAGGCCTACCTTGTATGGGGCCATCCGTAGAGCGAAGTGAAGGGCAGCCTGCAGAAGGACAGAGAATAGGAAAGGATGAAGAAGCAGACAAACAATCAACAGATATTTGAAATTTGCGGAGAAAATGTTGTGTAACAAATGCATCCATCATTATGGAACAATGTTATTTATTTTGGAAATGAAACATCTGCAAGAAAACCACCAAGCTAAGAAAGCACCAAGGACCCCACAGTTCAGCCCTGAGTTACAAAGATTTTCTTGCACCTGTGGGAAGAATGTATACATTTATATATTAGAAGTATTGTGTAGGGAATCATAGGTTTAACTGACTCAAGTCTCCAACAAAGTTACGGATTAGCAGCCTCCTAAATCCTTTAAACTTACAGCAAAAATAAGAAATAATTAAACATTTATTACAAATTTTAAACACACCCAAGCAAATGCACAAAACTCAATTAACACAATGTAGACCAGGCTTGTCCAACCCGCGGGTCGTGGGCCGCATGCGGCCCAGGTCAGCTCGTAATGCGGCCCAGTGCCCACCCCAACCTTCGTGCAAGAGGATGTGCCAGCGAGGAGGAGGAGGAGAGGCAGGCACGAGGCGGGCGAGGCGAGCGCCACGCCAAGCAGCAACAGAAAAGGCGGGCGCCGTCAGAGCGCTCCTCGTGCCGAGGCAGCCGCAGCCCAAGAGTCCCGCTCCGCCACCTCCTGCTGTTGCTGCCCCCGCCGCTGCCGCCGGAGCTGTTGTAGAGGCCCAAACCAAATTTTCATCTTCTAATGTGGCCCAGGGAAGTTGAAAGGTTGGACAAGCCTGATGTAGACATTGCTCACAGTTCAAATGAAGAGACCCAATCCACATCAACTGCTTCTCCAAGTCTACACATACACACACACACGCCCTTCACGTGTCACCCTGAAACAAGCACGCACACATTTCCACACCCCTCAAGACCCACACCAAGTACAAGCTCCCACATAAAATAGCCCTTTTGTACTTCATTTTCACTGGGCAAGCCACGGACAAGCCTCTTTGTTTTGTGGGAATAAATAAATGTCCTTTTCTCAAAGCTGTCTGGATTTCATTTTGATTTGTTTTCGCAAAACCCCAGCTTGAGTTTGAACTCCCAATTATTCTTCTGACATATCTAGCTCTACTTACCTCTACTGCAAACTCTATCTATCTCTGAGGCAGTGTTTCTCAACCTCAGAACTCATGGGTGGACTTCAACTCCCAGAATGCCCCAGTCAATATGTTGAGGAGAAAAGAAGGAGGTGTCTAATCTTGCTATTTTCCTGCTATTACTTAGGTTCCTCACAGAGGTTCCTCCATTTCATCTTCTTTGTTTGTCAACCTTTTCTGATTTTTTTTTTTTTGAGGAGTGGCAATTACAGCTGCTACAGCAAACATTACATTGTTTAGTTTCCTGACTGTTCATTTCCTATTTCTAATTGCCTTGGTGTTTATTAGATTCCCCATTGCAAATTATGGTGTTTACTATAGTCAAATCTTTGTTTAACCCACAAAGAAATTCTAGCCACTACAAAGACTCCATGAGCAATTGTCCTGATGTATTCTATTAATTATCAAGGCAAAGAAGAAAAAAACACTTTCCTTTTATTTGTTTCAACATCAAATCTACTGTGGGAAATAAATGAGTAGTTTAGCGTAAAAACACAACCGTTTCAACTTGTCCCTGTAATGGGACCCTCCTTGCCTTCCATTTTTTAATTCATCCATTGTAGGACAGAAAACTTTTTACCAACCAGACATTAGAAAGGAAGAGTTAAAGGTGCTTTGGTCAATAGTTCTCCATTTGAATAGGCTGAGCCCCAAAAGATGCTTTCGGAATCTGTTAGGAATGAGAGTCACCTAACAGGATCATAATTTAATACTGTATCTTTAAGAGACTGCTGTAAGTGTGATTGGCTGAGGTTCCTCCAACAGCCATAAGATGGAGTCAGAAACCTGGTTTCCTTCTCCTTGCATTTCCTGTTTTGCCGTATTTTCCTGATCGTTATTCTGCTTGGATTGCTGTGAGTCTTACAACTGTTAGCAAACTCCATTTACTGAACTTTGACTTTGTTTTTGGATTATCCCTGGACTGATACTAACTGCTTTAACCGTGTATTATTTGGACTGTTTGTTGGACTTTGTTTACCCATTTACTGGAAGTAAAACCTACATTTTACTATTCAGTGTATCTGTATGCTGGTCGTGTGTTATTCAACATCACTCTCATTACGTTTCCCTGAGTGCACTCATTCTTCTAACGGGGAATACCTCAACAGAATCCAATGCACTGTAATTAACAGACAATCCTGCAAATTTATTACCTCAGTTGAGCCCAAAATTTCCATGGCTAAGCAAGACAATTGTTAAATGAGTTTGGTCCCATTTTATGACTTTTCTTGCCACCGTTGTTAGGTGAATCATCACAATTGTTCAGTTAGTAACTCAGTTGTTAAGTGAATCTGGCTTTCCCATTGACTTTGCTTGTTAGAAGGTCCTGTTGGAAGAAATATCCATCTGGTTCAGTTATCCAAGAGAAAGGCACTGCAGACAAAATGGAGGCTGAAGGCTGACTGGAAAGAAGGTCCATTTATTGATGAAGCAGAAGCACAGGGGTGGTTCTGGACAGCTGACCACATGGAGTTGAGAATGAGGGGTATTTATACCTTCTTTTGGGCTTTGAACTTGAGCTTCCTGTTCCTGTGCAAGAACATGTATTCTGTTGGCTGTTGTAGAGATCATAGCTGGCTCTATAGGTTGTCTGAGCTCCCAGGTTTGGTTGAAGTTTGAACTGCTGAGATGATGCAATGAAGGGGCTTGTGTTCTGAAAGGGTGTTGGGCAATTCCTATTCATGGCTTTTTCCTGGTTTGGATTTTGAGTGAGGCCTATTTGCTTATGAATAGAGCTACCTAGATACTCGACTTCTTTCAATAAGCTCTTTATCTCTTAAGTGCTGACATCTGCCGAGGGCTGTTAAGAAAGGTGGGGGCTGCTTTCTGTCTGAAAAAACATGTTTGTCCATTTATCCCTTTGGGAAAATATAATAATCTGCCCTTTTTAATATTCCTCAAAATATTTCATTCTTCTAGGACAGGTCGTGGCTTCCCACAGTTGCAAAAGGTGATCACATGATCCCAGGACACTGCAAACATCATTAATGCATGCCGGTTGCCAAGTGTCCGAATTTTGATCACAGCAGTGGTGAGATTCAATTTTTTTTATTACCAGTTCTGTGGGGGTGGCTAGGGGCCGAGGCCATGTGACTTTTGCACATGTTTTTTTTTTTTTGCTTTTTGAAGCACCCCTCCCCCCATTTTGGGGGCCTTCTGGGCCTCAGGCAAGCCTCCTGGGGGGGGGCGTTTTTGTTCCCAGGAGGCTTCCCTAGGGCTCAGGAAGGCAGAAAACATGCTCTATTTGGGGGCCTCCCTGGGGGAGGTGCAGAAGGTGGTTTTTTGCCTTCTTGGGCCTCAGGGAAGCTTCCTGGATGAAAGAGTAAGTAAGTAGGAGGAATCCCAGCACAGCTGATCATAGGAACAGCTGATCGTCGGAAGGGGAAAAAATGTATACCTTAAGGAGTGACTGGGCAGGCTAGCATCAGGCAGGCAGGTTGAGCAAGCATTAGGTGGGCAGAGTAAGCAAGTGAGCGGCAATTGGGTGACCGGGTTAGGGGCGTGGCCAGCCATAAATTACTACCGGTTTGGCGACTCCCGCCAAATCCTTGCTACCGATTCATCCCATCCCAGTGCTGAACCCAACCGGCTGAATACCACCACTGGATCACAGGGATGTGATCATGCAGCGTTCATGAGTGGGATGTCAAGATTGAACCATTTTGCTTCTTTCAACATTTAATGCCTCTCAATGTCCAGGTGTGCCTCGTTCAAAACCTAAGAAAGGAATCCTTCAACTCTATGTATGTAGAGAAAAAGTACTTTTACTGAGTTTGAAGTGATAGTAACAAAAGAAAGCAAGATCTGAAGCAAATAGGTGTGAAAATTACAATATTGAAAGTTATGCCGTTCCCTCACCCAAGAGTCTAGACTGATCATCCAATTTGAGGTGTGTATAATGTCATGTAGGGTACATCTTCAGGTGGTTTCTCACTCATCTGGCATGCCAAGATGGTTGACCTTGGCTTAATAGAAATAAGTCTATGCAGATGCGCAGTAAGCAGCAAAACATCCTCTCCTTTTTAGTTCACACAGAAAATGTCTTCACTCTCCAGCAACCTTCCATCAGCCCAAGGGCTAGACCCAAAGGCAGAGAGAGTGATATTTATTTGAAAAAGATCAGAGATAGCTCTGGAAAAAAATAATAATACTCAAGAGGATATTTCCGTTTGTGAAGTCCACATTGAGTCTGCTTCAACCATATCATCCCTGCTGTCATTTCAAAAGAGTATTTAACTTCTTTTAAACCTAACAGTGAAGATATCTCAGAGATCAGTCAGCGCAACTCTTTATTCAATGCATGACCCATTAGAGCAGTGTTTCCCAGACAAAGTGATAGAATAACAGAGTTGGATGGGACCTTGGAGGTCTTCTAGTCCAAACCCTTGCTCAAGGAAGAGACCTTGGTACCACTCCAGACAACTGGCTGTCCAGCCTCTTCTTCAAAACTTCCAGTGATAGAGCACCCACAACTTCTGAAGTTCCACTGTCAGGAAATTTCTCCTTAGTTTTAGGTTGCTTCTCTCCTTCATTAGTTTCCACCCATTGTCCTACCATCAGGTGCTTTGGAGAATAAGTTGACCTCCTCTTCTTTGTGGCAGCCCCTCAGTCCAGCCCACCATGAATTTCATTGACCCCTATCTACTGCTAATTTGCTTTGACCATTAATAGTTCAGATTCTTGCAGACTACAAGAAAGGTTGCAAAATAGGGCAAAACTCACTTAACTTCTCACTCAGCAACAGAGATATTGGGTTCAATTTTGGTTATACGTCAGGGACTAACTGTATGCAGTGCTCACACTTCAGAGCAGGGTTTGTCAACCTTGGTGATTTCAAGACTTGTGGACTTCAACTTCCACAATTCTCCCGCCAGCCAGTTGTATTTTACAATTTATGTCTACAGATAGATAGACAGGCAGACAGGCAGATAGCCCAGTTTACAGAAGATTTGCTTCAAATGAACTCTCCAGTATATTTCATTCCCAGTCTTTATGGAAACCTTCACTTACATTAATAGCACAATTTTCAGGAGGTAGATGGATTTAATTGAAAGGGGTTTTGAAATACATTCATAGTTTTCTCTTCTGCCAAAGGCGCAAGAATAAAAAATGTGCCACCGAATAATGCTAAGCAGTTGTAACCACTCTAATAACTCCATGGCATGTGAATTTGCATTTGTTTTACCTTAGAGTTGAACTGGAGAAAAAGAAATAATTGGCAGTTAAGAACTGACTGAAAATTGTGCTGATTCCAGGCAAGTGAGAAAAAGAACGGCAGAGAGAAAATACCAGAGAAAGAATTTCCTATTCTAGCCACCGAAAAATTGATATTGGACTTTTAAAGGAACAACTTCATTCTCTGAAATAATTCTCAAGTCTATGTGTTCAACAATAGAAAATAGAATAACAGGGTTAGAAGGGACCTTGGAAGTCTTATAGTCCAGCAGGATTCTATATATTATCCCAGACAAATTACCAACTTCTTGGAAACCTCCAGTGTTGAAGCACCCACAACTTCTAGAGGTAAGCCATTCCACTGATTAAGTGTCTTCACTTTCAGGAATTTTCTCCTTAGTTCTAACTTGGAATTCTCTTTAATGATCTTCCACCTGTTACTTCTTATCCTGCCCTCTGGTACTTCAGAGAATAGGTTGACCCCTGCTTCTCTGTGACAGTCCCTCAAATACTGGAGGACACTTATCTTGCTCCCCTTTAATCTTTCTCTTCATTAGACAAGGCATGCCTGGTTCCCTCAATTGTTCATCAGCCAAAAATCAATAACTATTGAAAATTCTTGCTGTGAAATCTTACCTTCTGTTTTGAAAAATTGGGATTCTTTCATGGTGGGCAATCGAGCCAAGACTGTAGCTATAAGAAGCAAAATAAAAGATTGTGCTGAAACCCAACTGCTCAAAGGTCAATATGCAATCGATACCATAACATGCAAATCAATACCATAATTATAATTATAATATTATTAATTATTATTATTATTATTATTATTATTATTATTATTATTATTATTATATTATTAATTATGATATATAATAATATGCAAATCAATACCATAACAGTGGGATATTTTATCTTTTGTTATGTTTATATAATTCTAGGCAAAAAGACATCTAAATACAGTTTGTAATCCAAGAGAAGAAAAATTTGTAGCTCGGAGTTGAACTGTGGGATCCTTGGTGCTCACAGAACTTGGTTGTTTCCTTATGGACCTTTCATTACCCAACTAGATAACACCATCAGTGCTGGAAGGAAGTGGGGTTTTGTGGAGTGGAGAAGAAACAGAGGAGGAGGAGGAGGAGGAGGAGGAGGAGGAGGAGGAGGGAATTGTGGGGTGTTTGGTGCTTTCTGAACTTGGTTGTTTTCTTGTAGAACAGGGCGTCAAACTTGCGTCGTCACAGCGGCATCATGTGACATATCGGGACATTTCCCCTTCACTAAACTGGGTGGTGTCAGGGCCAGCATGTGATGCATCTGGCCACAAGTTTGACACCCTGTTGTAGATATTTCATTATCCAACTAAGTAACACTGTCAGTGCTAGAAGGGAGTGAGGTTTGTGGTGGAGGAGGAGGAGGAGGAGGAGGAGGAGGAGGAGGAGGAGGAGGAGGAGGAGGAGGAGGCAAAGAGGAAGGAAACTGTGGGGTCTTTGGTGCTCTCTGAACATAGTTGTTTTCTTGCAGACCTTTCATTACCCAACTATAGGTAACATCAGCAGTGTTAGAAGGGAGTGGATTTGCATTGATGATGTTCCTTAATTGGGTAATGAAATGTCTGCAAGAAAACAACCAAGCTCAGAGAACACCAAGGGCCTCACAGTTCAACCCTGACCTGCCATAGGTCCCATCTATCCACCAGCCAAAGGACAACCAGTGAATTATAACATGCTCTATCTAGATCATCCAGGTATTTTGTGCTAGAATAACAGCAATCAGGACTGTCTTCAGATGGCTGGCTGGTGCTACAAAGTTGTTTTAGGTCGCAGTTGTGCCAATGGCCAGAGCAATGTTGATGGTGCCATTTTGCAAAGGGCTACATCAGTAGATGTAGAAGGTTTCATAGAAAACAATCAACTGAGGGTTCTTTTAAGGGGAGAAGACAGGAAGGCCAATCAGGGATGGGATTCTACCAGTTTGCACCAATTCACTAGAACCGGTTGTTAACATTCTAAGCAGTTCAGAGAACCGGTTGTTAGAAGAAATTACTGGCCTAATCCTGTAAGGAAGGCAGGAAGGAAACATTCTGGTGTTGCTTACAGAAACTGCCTCTCCGTTAACCCTTATTACCTTCTTGGCAGGACGAGACTCCCTGTCTCAGGAACGTCTCTGGAGTTTTATCCCCTCCTTTGCTTTGGAGAGGCAGTTTCTGTTTGCGTGGAGTGACCATTCAAAGTTACAATGACACTGAAAAGAGTGACTTATGACCATTTTTTACACTTATGACTGTTGCAGCATCCCCACAGTCATGAGAATCAGGTGAGGAGATGCGTGCCTCAATGTGAGTGATATTGAGTTGGCCACACCCAGCCAATAATATGACCACCAAGCCACGCCCACCCAGTCACATGATAGCCATGCCCACCGCCTAAGCCACGCCCACAGAACCGGTTGCTAAATATTTGAATCCCAACCCTGCTCGTCACCATCACACAGAGGGGCCAATTCACTTGACAACTGCTTAACAAGAGAAATGTTGTGCTTAGCTGTGGACCTAAGTCAACGACTACCAGTAATATGATGTAAGTTTAGAGAAAGAGTTTGAAATATACTATTTATATCTCACCCAACAAAAAATGCCTTTATTTCACTCTAATCCCCATCATTTCTTGCCCCTCACAATTATTGGAGTATCTACAGCAAAGAGCATAAAGCTTCCGGAGAAAACAGGAAATAAGAGACGGTACAAAAGGAAAGAACCAAATGATGGATGGGCTCACCTGTCCGGCCAATGACAGATACAGGGTCACTCTCTCCTGCAGCGTAGACTGCAATTACGGTCACCGTATAAACTCTAGCAGGCAAGAGAGAATGAAGAACAATGGACTGAATCCTGCCAGAGACTGTCATCTGTAGAAAGGAGAACGTAAACACTTTTACAACCTAGCAAGGCCATGTGATTTTAAGACTCAACAGGACAATTACTGAAACAAATGAATAATTGAAGGCAGGACAAGAAGCAAGGGATGGAAAGTTATCAAGGAGAGAACCAAGTTAGAACTTAACTAAGGAGAAATTTCCCGACAGTTTTGTGTTGAATTTATATTTACCAACAAAGAAATGAAGGGAGAGTAATATAGTTCTATTTCAAGCTATAGCTCTCGTCAGTTAGACATACCCTTCTGGGATTCAAACCCAGGTTACTCACATACTAGGTAGATGTATTAACCTCTAAGCCACAGGCTCTCCTTGTTTTGTCGGCTATACCAGGGGAGAGATTAAGTGTTTTTTTTCAGTGTGACAGATCTATCAGGGCAACTGGGTCTGCTCAAATATGGGACGGAGCATATTGCTTCTGCTTTCATCTTTCAGCCCCAGACAGTGGTGGGATTCAAAAAAATATTTTTACTATTGGTTCTGTGGGTGTTTCTTGGTGGGTGTGGCAGGGGAAGGATAGCAGAAGATTTAGCAGAAGACGCAGCGCTCTCTACATGGCACCGTCCCTCCAGAATAGTTCACACTTCAAACTCACGGAATCCTATAAAGATCCATCCACTCATTCAACCATTTGTTCAGCTGACCCAGAACTGCTGGTTGGTTCTGTTCATCGTTAAACTTTCTTTCCAATTAGCCTCCATTTTATTTTATTCCTGGCTTGGACCTAAACCAGATCAATGGTGGGATTAAAAAATTTTTACTACCCGTTCTGTGGCCATGGCTTGATGGGTGTGGCTTGGTGGGCGTGGCAGAGGAAGGATACTGCAAAATCCCCATTCCTTTCCCCACCCCACTAACCTGCTTTCCAGCTCCTTTCTCCTGTGCAGGGCAACAAAAGGAGACCCAGCCGATCAGCTGGGACTCAATGGGAGGCGGAGAATAGATGGGGGAGGAACCAGTCAGAGGCAGCATTTGCCGGTTCTCCAAACTACTCAAAATTTCTGCTACTGGTTCTCCAGAACTTGTCAGAACCTGCTGAATACCACCTCTGGCCCCAATCCAGAAGGCTCCTGGATTGGGGATGAAAGTCAAAAATGGAAGAAGTATACTCCGTCCCATATCTGGGCAGACCAGGTTGCCCTGATAGACCGGTCTCACAAGAAAAATTAAATTCCCTGACAGTGAGAACAATCCGCGGAAATACTTGCCTCCAGAAATTGTGGGTGTTCCATCCCTGGAGGTTTGTTTTTAAGAAGAGATTGGACAACCATTTGTCTGAAGTAGTATAGGGCAGTAACGGCTAACCTTTTCCACGTTGCGTGCCCAAAGTGTGTGCGATGCAATGTTCCCACGACTCCCGCTAGCCTCTGCGCATGCACACACGACCACCCCCCCACACCGCTGCATGCTTCTGTGCATGTGCACGCATCTCCCACCCGTGCATCTCCGCTCCATGCATACGTGGCAGATACCCGACAAGCAGCTGGCTGGGAGGGGACATGCCGCATGCACAGTGGGGCTCTACCGGGCGACCTCTCGCATGCCGGCAGAAGTGGCTCTGGCATGCCGCTTCTGGCACGCGTGCCATAGGTTCGCCATCATGGCTATAGGGTCTCCTGCTTGAGCAAGGGGTTGGACTAGAAGACCTCCGAGGTCCCTTCCAACTCAGTTATACTGTTAATTGCTGATATTGATAGAAGAGAATATTTGTAGCTCAGGATTGAACTGCGGAGTCCTTGACACTCTCTGAGCTTGGTGCAGGTAGTCCTCGACTTACCAACTGTTCATTTAGTGACCTTTTGAAGTTACAATGGCATTGAAAAAAAGAGATTTAGTAAATTGCAAAAAAGGGATTTATAATAAGTAAATTGCAGACTTGACAGAAAAGAAGATAAAATATAATGAATATGAAGGTATATAATGGTGTATTAAGGATTTAAAGGAACAGATTAAGCAACGTACTGGAAAGATTATAAAATAAGATAGGAAAAGCTTGATGATTAAAATTAAAGAAAAGATATAAAGCAAGATTAAGATAAGTCATTAAATGTGAAAGATGAATAGGAAATGAAAATCAGGTTTGTAATCGAAATATGTTAACTTGGAATCATGCTGTTCACTGAATATATATATATATATATATATATATATATATAGAGAGAGAGAGAGAGAGAGAGAGAGAGAGAGAGAGAGAGAGAGAGAATATATTTTTCTGTAATATGTGAACATTGAATAAAACTTTTGGGGAAAAAGAAAAAAAAGGGATTTATGTCCATTTTTCACACTTATGACCGTTGCAGCAACCCCATGATCATGCAATTTACATTCAGATGCTTGTCAATTGGTTCATATTTATGACGGTTGCAGTGTCCCGGGGTCATGTGATCAACTTTTGCAACCTTCCGACAACTAAAGTCAATGGGGTAGCCAGATTCACTTCACGGCGGTGTTACTAATTTAATAACTGCAGTGATTAACTGAACACCTGTGGCAAGAAAAGTCGCAAAATGCGGTAAAACTCACTTAACAAATTTCTCACTTAGCAAGGGAAATCCTGGGCTCAGTTGTACTTGTAAGTTGAGGGCTCCCTATAATTAGCATTGATGCTGTTACATAGTGTGGCAATGAGATATCTGCATTAATCTCAGAGAGCACCAAGAACCCCTCAGTCCTCCCCCTCCTCCTCCTCCTTCCTCCCTCTCTCCCTTCTATCACTGAGGATGTTACCTATTTGGGTAATGAAATGTCTGCAAGAAAACCACCCAGCTCAGAGAGGACCAAGGACCTCAGCCTTAGTAAGACCACACCTAGAGTACTGCATCCAGTTTTGGTCACCACACTATAAAAAGATGTTGAGGCTCTAGAAAAAGAGCAGAGAAGAGCAACCAGGATGATTAGGGGATTGGAGAAATGAAAAATGGTTGCAGGAACTGGGCCTGGCTAGTTTAGGGAAGAGAAGGACCAGGGGAGACATTATAACAGTCTTCCAATATCTGAGGGGCTGCCACAGAGAGGAGGGGGTGAAGCTATTTGCCAAAGCGCCTGTAGGCCAGACAACGAATAATGGATGGAAACTGAACAAGGAGAGATTTAACCTGGAAATAAGGAGAAACTTTCTGACAGTGAGAACAATCAACCCATGGAACAAAAGTTGCCCTCGGAAGTTGTGGGAGCTTCATCACTTGAGACTTTCAAGAAGAGACTGGACTGCCATTTGTCAGAAATGGTGTAGGGTCTCCTGCTTGGGCAAGGGGTTGGACTAGATGACCTACAAGGTCCCTTCCAACTCTGATTATCTGTTATCTGTTATGACCCCAAAGAACTGGTAACTCTTGGAAATGTCACTTTTTTCTTCAAGCACATTTTAATGCTCCAATTGTAATGATTGCAAATGACAAATGCTAAGTTCCAACAGACCTCAGATTCCTCAGTACTGCTAATCCCCAGTGTCCGACTGCAATTGGGATGAGAATTTCTGTTGCTAAGCAAGGCACTTATTAAGTGCCAATTTCACCATCTTTACTGCCATGGTTGTTAAGTGAATCACTGCAGTTGTGAATCATCTGATTGTTATGCAAATCCCCCATTGACTTTGCTTGCTGGAAGCCAGCTGGGAAGGCCACAAATATTGCATAACCCGAGGACACTGCAGCCTGTCAGGGCTCCGGTATCTACCTCCATTCAAATCATGAGTGTCTAGCTCCACCTCTCAGAATTTAAAAAAAAACAACGAAAGATTTATTAGGAGTGAACATGCCGGCGCTACCTGGGTGCAGCTGACTCTGAGACACATCATTCATTTCACCCTTGACCCTGGTCGTCCCCCACCTCCTGGATGTATATTCTCCAATGGGACATATCCATAGCCAAGAGTCGTCAATCATGCTCTCCAGTAATAATCTTGCGTGCCAGAAGCTTCGGCAGCCTAGCCATTATCTATGAAAAGCATTTAAGGAATGTACTACGTCCCCAGCTCCCTTTCTGCTGTCAACTCTAAAATACTAGAGAAATATTTTCGAGTTGACACAGTCATTGTAAATACATGCTAAAATGCCCAAATTTGGATCACATGACCACAGGGTCGTAAGTATGAGGACTGTTGTATGTCACTCTTTTCAGTGTCAACTGAACTTTAAAATATCACTAAGTTAAAGGGTTGCAAGTTGAATAGACTTCTTATATAAAATTTTATCAGGGAACTACCCATACTCCTGTTTCTGGCACAAGCCAATTTGTGAAGTAGTTTAGTTGAGACGCTGTGTCTGATCCATAATCCCCCAGCAAGGGTAACTGTTATCCAGAGATTGGAATCCAATTCTCCTTGATTGAAATTTATTATGCTATCAAGTCAGCTCAGTAAGAGATGAGACTGGGAGAACTATTTTAAAAATTTTCTTCAGTTATAAAATCTAGGGGTTGACCTTGAATCTGTATCTCTCTGTTTATTTATTTTTTCTTATCTGT